GAGGTTGCGGTGGCCAGGAGCGTGCCACTGCACTCCAGTCTGGGTGACAGAGACTTCAACTCAAAATTAAAAAACACACAAATGAACAAAAAGAATTATAACACTGTTAAAGAAGAGACAAATTGGAAGGACTTATTTAACTTGTATCAAGACATCCTAGAAAGCTATAATAAGACTGTGATATGGGTACAGGGATAAACAAAATCAATGGAAAAGAAAACAGTCCAAAAACAGACCCAAACTTACACAGATACTTGACTTATTAGAAACATGGCAACACAATGGACAACAGCATGTTCTGTTCAATAACTAGGGCTGGAATAACTGTGTGCCCATATCAAAGAATAGAAATAGACCCCTAACTCACTCCATACACTAATTCCAAATGAATTACAGACATACATATAAATGGGAAAACTATAAAGCATTCAAGAGATAATACAGATTATCATGATAACCACAGGATATGGAAATACTTCTTTTTATTTATCTATCTTTTTTTTTAAAGTTGTAGTCTTTCTCTGTCACTCAGGCTGGAGTGCAGTGGTACGGTCAAGGCCACCCCAGTGTCGACCTGCTGGGCTCCAGTGATCCTTCCACCTCAGCCTTCCAAGTAGCTGGAATCACAGGCACGTGCTACCACGCCCAGCTAACTTTTTACTTTTTATTGTAGAGACAAGGTCTCACCAAGTTGCCTGGGCCGGTCTCAAGCCTGCAGGCTCAGGCAATCCACTCACCACTCGTCTCAGACTCCCAAAGTGCTGGGATTACAGGCTGAGCCCTCACTCTGTCACCCATGCTACATTGCATGCAGTGAACACGGCTCACTACAGCCTCAAACTCCTGGACTCAAGCAATTTTCCTGCCTGAGCCTCCCCATTAGCTAGGACTACAGTGCATACTATCACTCCCAGCTAATTTTTAAAATATGTTTTATAGACACAGAGTCTCTCTATGTTGCCTAGGCTGGACTTGAACTCCTAGCCTCAAAAAATCCTACTGCCTTGACCCCCCCCCCGCCCCGCCCTATGCTGGGAGTATACATGAGCCACCACACTAGGCCAGGAAATACTTCTTAAAACAAGCTACTCCTACACATGCAAAAAAAGACTTATTTATAAACAAAATATGATGAATTTGACTAAAGTTAAGAACTTTTGCTATTCAAAAGAAACTATAGGTTCGAGACAAGCCTGGGCAACTTGGCAAGACCTCATTTCTATAATAAATCAAAAAATTAGCTGGGCATGGTAGCAGGTGCCTGTGGCTCCAGCTATTTGGAAGGCTGAGGTGGAAGGATCACCTAAGCCCAGCAGGTAGAGGCTGCCAGCTGTGGCCATGAACATGCCACTGCATTCCAGCCTGGGTGACAGAATGAGACACTGACTCAAAAAAAATAAAAAAAAAGAAAAGAAACTATAAGGAGAAGGACAAATCACAGAAAAGGAGAAAGAAAAATATTAGCAGTACATGTAGCTGACAAAGAACTTCTATCTAGAATATATAAAGATCTGTTACAAATAAACATGAAAGAGATTACATGATGGGAAAGTGGGCACACACTGTAATAAATATACATATAAACAGAAAATTCAAGTGGTAAATAACCATTTTAGAAGATGTTCAGCTTTATTAACAATGTCGGCAATAGAGAATGGGACAAGCGGTCTTAACTCTGGTAAAAGCATAAGGGAGGGAGGGCAAGAGGCCGAAGGGAGGGGAGGAGAGGAGGCAGGGAGGGCACAGGAGGAGAAGAGGTGGTGCACAAGAACTAAACACTTGCTTTATAATATAAATAGATAACATCAAAACTTCATATATCAGGAAAAAGCAGTAAAGCATATTACTTATATACACAAAAGCAACTACCAGAAGAATTAGCTAAGAGAATAAATTTAAAAGTATAGAAAGTGGAGCCAGAGAGATCGTTCCCCTATTAAATGCCTTTAGGCATTTAACAAAAGCCATATAGATGTATTCTTTTCAATAATAAAAAAAATAAAGAAAAAAAAACCTAAGAAAGGGGGAAAAAGAATGAATGAGAGGTGAGGAATAAGTCAGGATAATTAGGCAATTCTTTGGAAACCCTGCCTGTGAGCAAGAACAGGGCAGCAGCCATATGGTTTTATATATGGTGTGGTTTTATATATGGAATAAGGTACATTTTGTAATCTGTATCATGTTCCTATTTGCTTTGGTACCAGAAAGGCCAGATTTTAATTTATGGTTTACACCTAAAAATGGTATCTCTAGGTTGTAACAGTCTGTCATCTCTGACCATTCAATCAACACTTCCTTTGCTCTAGTATTTCAGTATGTATCTTGGATCTTATTATATTTTATATGCCTTTAAATCTGGTAGGCTTAATAAATAAAACTCTAAAGAATTACTGAATACACATAGTACTAAAAATACTTATAATATTTTATGTTTTTCCTAATGATTCAGAGATTCAGGCATCTTACAATGCTTCCTTAATTATCATAAAGCTAGCTAGCTATACAGATATTCATACAAATTTTTAAAATTTATAATTTTGAATAACTTTTCCATTACATGAATATGTGTTCCCCGCCCACCGTGTATTTGGAAGCAAGTAGCCATAGAACACACAATATCACGCTGTCAGCTGGGGCAGGGATGGGGAACGTAAGCGAACATCAGGCAAAGTCATGAGATCAAACCATCCCAGGTCTTTTACAGTGAGGTACAATTACAGGTTTCTCATGAATCCAGCAGACAAGGCACATGAACAGATTTTTCCTCTGAGTAGATGCCCAGAGCATCTATCTGGGTTCTGAGTGCTCAGATGTTATAAAGCAAGTCCATACAGTAGGTTAGTCTAGCTGGTTTGGGAGTCTTATGAGCAGTTTCCTATTCTGATGGCCAAAATGGAGAGCTGCTCCTTCGAGCGGGTGTGCAGTTCTGATTTCTCCTTGTGATGCGGAATGGCCGGCCAGCCTGCCTGCCTGCAGGTCCTACTCACGCTCATGGGTCCAAGAACCAGGACACTCTGCTGGAGCCCACAGCGACCATGACCCGGTGTGGCAGGGGTCACCATCGCAGGCTCTTTCACAAACCAATACCTCACACCAACACCAGACCCGCATCGCGGTTATCCCTCTGGAGTTCCGCGGGCCATGATTGTTGGCCGCGATTGTCGCTCGTGGTTAAAGGAGCCGCCCCGGTAGTGGGCGCGGCCCCAGTTATGTGCGAGCACTACTCTGGTGCTGCAGCCTGACCCAGTACCACGCACAGGCGGGCAGGGATCAAAGGCAGCGCGTTACATGAAGATGTTAATGTGATCTCTCTGTAGGTGCTCTGTCTTCTCCTGTGTAAAAAGTCAGTATAGAGTCATGGCTGAGAGTCAGGCACTCAAAAGTTTAATTTCTAGTTCTGGCATTTGAACAAGTCAGACACTCAGTTTATTTCCCCTCACCTACAACATGGGGATGATAATAATAGTACCTGCTTCATGGTGTTGTGAGGATTAAATAAGATAATAAAGTAAACACATAATAAGGATTGAATATATGTTTCATGAAAAAAGAAGTGAATGAACAAATCTGGCAAAGAGGATACAACGGTGAAAGATGTTGTGAGCATGAATCAGCTCATCTGTTGACCTACAATGTGCTCGTGTGCAACAACCTTTTTTTTGATCTTTGCTAAAAGTCAAAGACTAGTGATGAAAACTCTTCTTCACTAGAAGGTCAATTCAGGAAACATAAAAGTAAACCGTGGGCGGATTCTTTTTTTGTAATAAATTACCTTTTTCATTGGGAAATGCATCATCTGCAATTGTACCTGAACCTTCTTGTACTGCTTTCCTGTGACTGGAAGTTTTCTTCTTTCTTCTTTCCTTTTTTGGGGACTAAAAAAATGCCAAAACTGTCCAATGAGTATAGCATACAGTAACTGATGATAGTGCAATCCATTGAACCAGCACTGTTTTACCTTGAAAAAGAGTCTTCCAAGGCTGCTTGTTTTCTCCTGATCTTGCAAGCCATTGTTTTCTTCAAAATAAGATTTTTTTCTATTGCTAATCAGACGAATGGCAGTATTGTTAGCACAAGTAGTAAGCACCTCTCAGTCTACTTACTTTAAAAAACATGATTTTCATCAGCTCCTTTTTTCTTCTTGGCAGAAGTCACAGTGAGGGGAACTTTATTTTTTAAATGCCCCTCCTCCTCAGCACTAGGCTGGGCTCCTCACTGCCTCCCAGGGGGATATACTCCCAAAGTCCTTACAGCCAGGCCTTATTTACCACTCCTCCCCTACAGACAATGAACACAAGGTCATACAGTGATTAGGGTAAGGGACACTGCTGAGTGTGGCTCTCATCAGGAAGTACTTGAAATTAAACAGTAGGTTTTATCTCAAATCTAAACAGGCTGTATTGCGTTCCTGGTTACTCACCACTGCACTAGATTAGTTTCATGCAGCACAACTACTTGAAGTGGTGGGAAATAAACAAGATTCCTGCTCCTTGCAAAATACCCTCCAGCAAGGGTGGTCAACCCAAGTAAGGACAAGAGTCAGAGCTCCAAGTTTCAGCAGCAGAGAGTTGAAAGACAGAACCCTTCAAAAATAAGATCAGCAGCATTGAAATGTTGCTTCCGATTGCTAGGGAGCAAGTCCTCCTCATGTTTCCATGTTGCCAAACTGTTGTTAAATAGTTTTGGAAGTTACGCACAATACTCATATCTCTATAGCCAAAAAGACGTTAAAATTTTTGTTTACTCCATGGACCACAAACATACTTTGGAAAGGTGTCATCGGTAACATGCAGCACAGGGGCCTTGATGAGCTGTATCTGCTCAAGTTGTAAAGCACTTTTTAGTAGCATGCTGGTTTGGAGGATCTTATTCTCCTTGAAAAATTTTGCCTACTATATCACAAAGGCTATAGAATTGATTTTCTAGCACCATAACTTTGAAAAAGTGATTCAGTTCTTAGAAACAAGCACACAAGCAAAGCAGTCAGCTACATGTTGAATGAACATCAGGGAAAGGACTGTTACCCCAAGACCCCCAGTTGTGAACTAGTGAGTGGTGATTCACATGCAAGGATACAGGGGTTATTGTCATCTATGGTGCAGCTGTCCAGGATCAATGGAATGCCATCCAGCTCATTTACCTAGAGAGAAAGAAGATACATTTATACACTAAAAACAGTCTGGTTAGGGTCAGAAATTACAGACAAACTGCTTCTCTTTTTGTATTTTCCTAGTGTTAAAATATCATCTGTACAATTATCTGAAATACCTGTATCAACCCCAAAATATATAAAACAGACATGTAAACAAAAAGTCATACTTTATTTTCTTTTCACTCTTCCTCAAAAATGTTGGGGAATTGGATTCATACAAAAAAAAAAAGCATAAAGTAGATCACTTTCTAATGTTGTTCACAAGGATATACTCCAGACACATCTGAGATTTAAGTTTAAAGAATAAAAAAAATGCCAGTACACGAAGAAAACACGAATAAATTCCTTTTCTAAGCCAGACTAGGATTCAAAAGCAATAAGGAAATTGTTTTAAAATTTGATTCTCTCTCTCTATTTTTTCTTTGAGTCAGGTTTCACTCTGTCGCCTAGGCTAGAGTGTAGTGGCACAATCATGGCTCACCACAGCCTCAATCTCGATCTTCTACCTCAGCCTCCTAAGTAGTTGTGACTATAGGAACGTGCCATCATCCCAGCTAATTTGTTTTTTTTTTTTGTAGAGATGAGGTCTCACTATGTTGCCTAGGATGGTCTCAAACTCCTGGGTTCAAGCAATTCTCACACCTCAGTCTCTGAGGGCTGGGATTACAGATGTGAGCCACTGTGCCTGGCTGAAAATTTAACTATATTTTTTAAAAAAGGCAAATGAAAACTGAGAAAATAAGCTGTAAGAGATCACAGATTTGTAAGATATTTACAAAAAATTAATATTTTAATATATAAAGAACTTGTAAAAGCTGAAACAACACTAACAGTCAAACAGAAAAATGGATGAAGTATATGAACAGAAATGGCACAGAGGAAAAACCACAAATAGACGATAAACATCAGAATATGCTCAACCTTGCTCAGAAGAGACAGGCAAATTACATGCAGCATTTTTCAGCTGCCAGACTGACAAATAACCAAGTCTGATAACAAAAGTTACTGGTGAGGTTACAGGGAAATAGGCACTCTCTTATGCTAGACTGAATGATAAATGGCACAACTCCTATGGAAGGGAACTAGTCAGAAAGCAGCAAAATCACATGTGCATTTACTTTCTAACCCAGTAAAGCCCATTTCTAGAACTAAAGATAAAAAATATACTACCAAGCCCAGTGCAGTGGCGTGTGTCTATAATCCGCACTCTGGAAGGCTGAGGTGGGAGGCTCATATGAGGCCCAGGGGTTCAAGACCAGCCTAAGCAACATAGTGAGACCACGTCTCTATAAAAAATTTAAAAATGACCCTGGGGTAATGGAGCACGTCTGCAGTCCCAGTTACTCAGAAGGATGAGGCAGGAGAGTCGCTTGAGCCCAGGAGGTCGAAGCTGCAGTGAGCTGTGAACGCGCCACTGTACTCTAGCCTCAGTGACAAAGAACCCAACTTAAAAAAAAAACCCAAACCAAAAAATACTACTCCATGAAATTATGTGTGGCACAGAGTTATTCACTGCAATACAGTTTATTTTATTTTAATGTTTTGTAGAGATGGGGTGCTGTTATGTTGCCCAGGCTGGTCTTGAACTCCTCGTCTCACTCAAGCAATACTCCTGCCTTGGCCTCCCAAAATATAATGCATATACCATAAAATTCACAGCTTTAAAGTAAGAAATACAGTGGTTTTTAGTATAATCAGAGTTGTATAACTATAAGTACTCTCTCATTTTGGACCATTTTCATCACACCTAAAAGAAATGAGCAGCTACCCCTCATTTCCCCCTAACCCTGGTCCTTGGCAACTACTAATCTACTTTCTGTCTCTATGGATTTGCCTTTTTGAGACATTTCATATAATATAGTATGTGGCCTTTTTTTGTACCTGGCTTCTTTCACTTAGCATAATGTTCTCAAGGTTCACCCATGTTGTAGCATGTACCAGTACTTCATTTCATTTTATGGCTAAGTAATAGAAATAATAGTCCACTGTATGGCTATACCATATTTTATTTTTCCATTTATCCACTGATGGACATTTGAGTTGTTTCCACTTTTTGGCTATTATGATAATGCTGCTATAAACATGTATGTATATGTATTTGAGTGGATATGTGTATCTAGTTTTCTTGGATATATACCTAGGAGTCGAACTGCTGGATCACATGGTAACTATAAACATTTGGGGAACTGCCAGACTGTTTTCAAAATGCCTGCAGCATCTTACATTCTCACTAGCAATATATGAGGGTTCCAGCTTCTCCACAAACTCATCAACTCTTGCTGCTGTCTGTCTTTTTATGGAGCCATCCTAGTGTAAGTGAAGTGGTATGTCATTACGGTTTTGACTCTCTGATGACTAATAATGGTGAGTCTAGCACAATTCATAATAACAAAGATCCTGGAAACCACTCAAATGTTCACCGACAGGGGCTGCTTAAATAAACCATGGCACAAATACAACAGATTGCTACAGAGCTATGAAAATGAATGAAGACAATTGCTGATGGACTGCTTCAGAGGAACCACTAGGATATAACAGTAAATGAGTGACAAAAGCAAAGTGAAAAACAGGCTTATATGAGAATCTTGTGTTTGACAAAGGAGGAGAAATATACACTTTTAAAAATATTCTGAAAAAGAAACAATAAAGGGTTAAACCAAAACCAAATAATAATATCCACAGGATGAAAAAGAGAATTGGGTAGAAAAAATAGAGACTCTGAATATATCTGGTTGTATAATTTTGACTTTGGAATCCTACATGTTTTATTTAACTTTTCAAAATTAATGTAAGGTTATAAAAACTGACAACAAACAGAAACAAATTAATCTAATGGCATATAGAACAAAGAAAAGTTATTTTACAGAATTAAAACAGTAGTCTGACGAGATATATAATTTAAGATCATAAAGAACCACACTGGAAATCTTAAAGTATACCCAGTCATCTGAGTATTAGTAATAATAATAATGTTATTTGAACTATTATTTATATTTAGTTTAAAACAAGTAGGTAAGTAATGTCATTAGCAATCAAGATTTTCACCATAAAAAGTATCAAATAAAAAAGCTAATTTTACATTTAAATAAGAAATATTAGTATGAACTCATATCTTTTTCTCTTTCCAAAAAATGTTTCTTAGTTTTGTTTACTGAAAAAACCTAGAAGCAAAGATAATCCACTAGCAATGAGCATTTCTAGTACCAGATTAGCTTCTCACTAAAAGAAACAAGATATCCAGTTGATTCTGATGCATAGATTTGCTAAAAATAACCATTACTGGTGATCCTTAGTTCCAAAAATGCCCAGAAGAGAATAAATTAGTTGGCAATTATTGAATTTCAATCATTTTTTTCCAGGCACTAGAGGCAGGATGGGAATTGAACTATTATTTAGTAGACACCTAGCATAGACTAGGCACTTTAATGATTTTATTTATTCATTCATTTATAATGAAGTCTTAAATGCCAGGGTAAGTATTATCAGTTCCCTTTTACAGATAAAGTGAGGCTCAGAAATTAAGTATCCTCCCTGTGGTCCTGCATCTACCAAGTGCTATTCAAAGTGAGGTCTGGAGACAACTGTCAGTTTGTAGGAATAAACACTGAGAGGAGAAGCTGAGAATTTCTAGTTATGCTAAGTCTGCTGAATCTTTTAATACAATCTGGGCTTGAATTTTCTCTTTTTTAAAACAATTTTTCTAGTAATTCACTTTATACCATACTTTATAAAAATATTGGTCAAGGATAGTTTGAAGGAAAGATAACAGGTTCTTCACCACCAGTAGTTTAAAAACGAAGCATTGGTATGGAGGGTAGGACCATTATAGAGGGTTGGTTTTGGGGGGGGGGATCATGTGTTCGAGGAGCACAGAGGAAAGGCTTATGGTCAAGCTGGTAATGGCCCCACCTAAGGTTGCATCCAAAGCTTCCCAGTGCAACCCTCACACCCCCACTTCTCCTCCAGCAACCTGCTATGCATCTACCAGTGGGATAGGTGCGAACAATAAAGTCTCCAAATGGAAAGGAGAGCTGCTGCCAAGTGTAAGCGCCTTGCTACTGATACTGGAGTAAAGATAAGGCGAGATCCAGAAAAGGAGCAAGGGCTTGTGACTGGCACAGAGAGGAAAGAACACCAGCTGATATTCACCAGCTGGCTGCAAATGTGTGATCTAAGCCCTTCTGGAACATGGGTGCATCTCCATGCCAGACTCAGGCTGGTTTTTGCATACAAAGTTTGGTTTAGCTTGGAGAACATAGAGCATGGTGCTCATGAAGGAGACTTCCCTGAAGAGTGACATTTAGCTTAAGATGAGAAGAAAGAAACTTGAATTAAATAAAATGAAGGCGGCTCCAGAGAGTGTTTTGGGCAGGAGGAAAAGCAGGTGCAAGAGGTGGGATCTAAGAAGGAACATGAAGAATTCACGGAACTGCGAGGCAGCACATCATAGGGATTAAGAGCAAGCACTATGGACCTAGACTGCTGGGTCAAAGCCTGGTTATGAGCCCTGTGGCCTTGGGTAGGTCATGGAACAGCTAAGATTTATTTTGCTCAACTGTAAAATGTGAATGACAGGACTAACTTCAAAGGCTGATTGTGAGAATGGACTGTATTACCATATCTGGTTAGCACAGAGTATATCCTCTGGGAATGACAGCAATAGTTGATGACATTTATGCTGCCAACTGGAAGTTCAAGAGGCTGGAACAAGGAGTTAGGCAGTAGCTCCTGAATGCATGAGGAAACCAAAGAATAACTTCCACTAAATTTATACTTCCACTCTGCATTAGGCAAAATTGCACATTTATTTTCAAAAACCAGTTTTTTTGATAAGTGAGAAATAGTATTATTCAGGATTATTCAATGCAAGGAAAACATCTTACTTTCATTAAAAAAAAAAATTCTGAGATATGCTAAATGGGTAAGATTTTCTTTGAAGAAAATGAAATCACACACTAAAAACTGAAATTGAAGTAGGCAATAAGGGT